AAGTATAAAAATCAAATGTATATTCATATTTGAACTGATTGTTTATAGTTCATAATGCATGATCAAAACTGAAAGTTTCTGGGATGACTGCCCTTGTACTGTTCACCATGTAAATTATTCACTAAGCAAGAACTTGTTCTCCATGTAAGAACTTGTTCGTTATGCTTCAGAAGATTGGAGACTGAGGAGAATTAGGCTTGGGGTGGATTAATGATTGTGCATTGAGCACTGAGTCCCCTACACAGAATGTGACTGTAATGAGGTTTGTGGGGGGGACCTGGGGTAGGGGAGAGCCTAGTAAACATAATGCTCTTCATGTAATTGTAGATTAATGATGACAAAATAAAAAAAAAATACACAAGGTGGCTCAACAGTTACCCATACTATTAACTCCTCACCCCCTCTAATGCGGTCACCATATACCAACACAGTAAGACATTACAGAAACATTAACCATTTTCTCTGTGCTGTACTACTGTCCCTGTGACCAACCTATATTGTGATTGTGAATTATTGTGCCTCTTTATTCCCTTCCCTCTCCCCCTCCTCCCTTCCCAGTCCCTCCCCTTTGGTAACCAGCAGTCCCTTCTCAGTGTCTATGAATCTACTACTATTTTGTTCCTTCTGTTTTGCTTTGTTTTTATACTCCACAAATAAGTGAAATCATTTGTATTTGTCTTTCTCTACCTGGCTTATTTCACTGAGCATAATACCGTATAGATCTATCCATGCTGTTGTAAATAAAAGGCTTTCTTTTCTTTTTATGGCTGAATAATATTCCATTGTGTATATGTATCAATCTTCTTTATCCATTCATCTACTGATGGACACCTAGGTTGCTTCCATATCTTGGCTATTGCAAATAGTGCAGTGATAAACATAGGGGTGCATATATCTTTTCAAACCAGGGATCTTGTTTTCTTCAGGTAAATTCCTAGAGGTAGAATTCCTGGGTCAGATGTTATTGCTATTTTTTGTTTTCTGAGGAACCTCCATATTACTTTCTACAATGTGATCTCTTCTTAACCAAAACTCTCCTCCTGCCCTCTTTGATGACATCATTGTCACTAAATGGTGTTTTATCTCCAAGCACTGCTCTAGGCCCTTTCTCATTTCTATTACAAGAGTCATACATTATCATATGTCAAGATTTTAATTGGAATTTCCTTGTCCCAACGTTTACAATACACAGAATTGCCTTCAATCAAAATGAATCATTTAAATAGTACGTAAATGAAAAAAAATTATGAAGCTTAGTCTAAATCTCTCCACTGCCCAGTGTTTAAGAAAGAATGTTGTACTATGCTTAATTATTCTGCTGAAAACAGGAGAAACACATTGTAAATTTATTCAATTTTTGGCATAGATATAAATAAAAATTATAAAGATATAAATATAAAATTGAAGAGTCAGGTTGTAGCCCACAATGAAAAAAAGGAAGAAAGGTTGAGGACCTAAGAAAACCTATGATGTTAGAGCAATAATAATTAACATCAATAAAACTTAATCTGTCGCTGAATAGTGTAGAGACATGAAAGTAAAAACATTAAAACTTAGCTGGTGACAGTATTTTTTAAATGCTTACTTTTTCGTTACAATCATATTCCACTGAAGACAGACGACGGGACACGAGGAAGCACTGTCTCGAATGGTGTGGAACATGCTACAGACAAAACACAACAAAACAAAATGTTGAAATAAATAAACTACAGATACTTGAATGGGCTTTAAAATATTTTTTTCAGGGTAATTCTTCCAGTATGCTTCTAGCTAAAATGTTTTATCAGTCAATACATGTAGTTCTAAGCAACATGCCCTAAGAAACCAAAGGTATCTCCAGAAAAGTTTAAGAAGCAATGGATACAAAAAAAAAATTCAATGAAAGGTCTTGCCGATCATGGCAGGATTAGAATGTCACATAGCACACAAAACGTTATGCAACCTACAGGAGTACTGGCCTTCAAACAACTTCATTTTTAACAGTGACCAGTAAATAGTAAAACAATTTTTTTTATTTGCTGATATCTTGCACATTTCTTGTTTTACTTTTTCTGCTACAAAAGTGGTTTAGCAGATAAAATAAAAAGATACTTGTAGTCAAGTTCACTTATAATTCATTATCATAAATGTTTGTGGGAAAAGGGTACCTTAAAGCTGAAAGATGAAAAACAATCACTCATAAAAATTACAGCCACATTTACCCAGAAGAAAACAATTTACCTGGTAGTCACTGACAATGCTAGACCCAAAAGGGGGCAGGGGGTGCATGGAAGGGCTGGAAAAGGAGAGGCAAAAAGCAGCAGGTACCACCTCTGGGTACTTCCCCTTAGAACCGTCTAAGAGGATAACTCAAATAAGAGGTAAAATATTTCCATAGCAACATTTTTAAATGAACTCAAAATTTATACAATTACTTTTTTAAAGTATCAAGTCCCAAATTTCAAAATGTAATCTTTATACAAAAGTCAAGGTAATAGATATGAAAGATATACTTTACAAAATCAAGCTAAATATCCAGTAAAAGACCAGGAAGAGCAATAGATTAAGAATGGGGAGAAAATTGTCTTTGTTAACTATGCCCCTTTCAAAGACCAAAACTCACGTATTCCTTCAAGCATCCTGTGAATCCCAGAGTACTAGCCCCAATTTTAAAAGTGAAAAAAACTGAGTCACGAGGATTTTAATTTTTCAAAAGTCACAAGGCTATGCTGTAATGGTTACAAGATTTAAATAGATCTGTTAAAAGCATTCTGAAGTTTTTATTTTGAAATAATAAAATTAGTGGGGCCTCCCACTATAACAGTAACATCTATGCAAAGATATGATTTGGGGACAAAAAAACAATTTACAAGAGGATTTCATCACTCCCGATATGTATAAATAAAAATCCAGTCTTCTGCTGCCTTCAGAATAGCTATAATTTAGCAACTTTACTCTTACATCAAACTTAATAAAATAAAGACACTACTTCTTCCAGGAAAATCATGTCTTGTGTTTACAGCCTCAGCCAATGCAGAGAACAAACTAAGAATAAAGAAAAGCAAAAGCTACCTAGGAATTTCTCACATTTATTCTGCTGCAAGGTAGCACTGAGATATTTACACAAGAGAATAAATAGCATACCAGCTTCCTATCAATTTTATTAACATGGAACAACAAAATAGCTTACATTTTTACAAATTCTCCCCAGTACTGTAAGGCACATAATGGTCTTTCATGGGAAAAAGTCAACATATTATTTTATAAAAGGCAAAAATCATGCATGTGTCTTTAATCACTAACAAGTAAAGTGTGTAACTGATTCCTAATGGCAAAATCCAAATGTGAGTCTTCAAGAGACAAAATATAACCCAGAATGGACATTTTAGGTATTCTAATAAGCTTTGGAGAGTGAGAGGAAACATGTCTAGGGAAGGGAAAACTTCAAAAAGTGGCATACCCATAAGAAGAAAACAAATCCTACCATTTGCAACAACATGGACGGAGCTAGAGGGTATTATGCTCAGTGAAATAAGCCAGGTGGAGAAAGACAAGTACCAAATGATTTCATTCATCTGTGGAGTATAAGAACAAAGAAAAAACTGAAAGAACAAAATGGCAGCAGACTCACAGAACCCAAGAATGGACTAACAGTTACCAAAGGGAAAGGCACTGGGGAGGATGGGTGGGAAGGGAAGGTTAAGGGGGAAAAAAGGGGCACTACAATTAGCAGACATAATGTAGGGGGGGCACGGGGAGGACTGTGCAACACAGAGAAGACAAGTAGTGACTCTACAGCATCTTACTACGCTGATGGACAGTGACTGTAATGGGGTATGTGGGGGGGAGTTGGTGATGGGGGGAGTCTAGTACACATAATGTTACTCATGTAATTGTAGATTAATGATACCAACATAAAAAATAATAAAAAAGAAAGTGGCATACCACCTGGGAAAGAACACTGGGAGCAGAAACCCAGTAACCAGAATTCTAATTAACTCATCCTGATACTATTTCTATGATTTCAACAAACATCTCTAACCCCTCCGCTAAGAAATGAAAGTTTATGATGACTTTTTTCTAAGGTGCCTTGCATTCTAGACCATGTGAGCCAAGATGGGGACTAGGACCTCACTGCTGACCTGCTTGAGAGTGACAAGCATGCTCTCAGTCATAATGTAAGGTGACCACAGGGAGAAGTGCAGCATGGAGAACAATGATTCGGTAACATCTTTCTACGCTGACAGATAGTAACTGTACTAGTGGGGGCGAGGACTTAATAATGTGTGTAACTGTTGAATCACTGTGCTGTATGCTTGAAACTATGTATCAACTATACCACAATTTAAAAAAAAACACATGGAACTACTTGGATGGAAACAGCTAATTTCATAGGTATTAATTACTTTAAATTATGCATTAAATTTCTAGGATAACTTTGTGATTTAAAACCTCAGGACTCTATCTCATTGTATAAGCTCATGAAGAAAGGAAGCTAAACCTGGCCCAAAAGGACAGAGAGTTTCTTACCCAGAATGATCTGGAAATCTCTTAAGTGGTCAAGATCTGGAAATCTCTTAAGTGGGTCAATTGACCCAACATATAATCTATTTACTTTCAGGAACTACCAATAACATAAACTAGCATCAAAAGCATCTACACCACACTTAAAACTCTATCGAGTCTATTACAAATTGCACCTGGCCAAAATGTAGAAGAAGCTATAGCATCACACCTAATTGATTAAACTGATTTTTTAAAATCTTTTTTGTTCTACTTAATACTTGGTTCTGAAGATCTGACAAACTATACCATCAGTATAAAAAAAATCATATAGTTTGTACACATGTGACTCTGTGATGATGCAGCCCAAAAATTTTAAAAACATGGATGCCCCCGCTTAGCCAATGAACTAGAAGTAGAAATGGCTCAAACAGAACTGCCACAGCAGAAGCACCACTACAGAGAAACAAGGGTTTGGGCAGTTCCCACAGCAAGTCCAAACTGGTTTGTAGTTGGTCTCATAAAGGTTCTCTCTGTTCCTTTTACCCAGGGCAGACCTTCATGGAAATTCAAAATTATAAAGAATTCAAGTTAAAAATCAGACAATTTTTGTAGAGCTACAACATAAAATTTCTTTTCTAAATGTAGGGAACAGTTAGGAAAGATCTGCTAATTTGGACCTCTACACAGAATTTAACCATGCATTATTTTTGTGAAGCTTATAACAAACTGGTTACAAGCCCAGTCCAAAATTCTTTTAGGAAACTTCCTAGAAATAAGAAGTCCTAGTGGAAAACTTTAACCAACTCCATTTATAAAGATTATTTAGCACATCACAGTCAAAAGGAGAAAAGTCAGCATTTACAAAATGACTTCCCAGTAACACACTGCCATTGGTTCTCTTCTGAAAGAATAAAGGTATCCTATTTTTTCCACACTTAGAAAAGAAATGTCTGCTAACAGCATGGCAGATGGCAAGCAGCATGACCTTCAGAGTCACCAGACCTGAGTCACCTCATAGCTCCCCTGCTTCGTAGTTATGCAACATTGAGCAAATCATATCCCTGGACTCCAGGTTCCTTCTATAAAATGTAGGTGCCCTGCTTTCCTACAGAGTTGTTAAAAGGATCAAACAAGCTTTATAAATTGTAAAGCACCAAGAAAATGTAAGATACTACACAAAAACTAAATTCAATTATGTATCTGTCCCTGTCTTAAAATTATTATCAGACCATTTGGAAGTTACCATTGGAGTAATAATGTAGTAATTAGGAGCTCTGGTCTACCTATGTTTATCACTGTACAATTTGCAATACCCAAGATATAGAAGCAAATTAAGTGTCCATCAATAGATGAATGGATAAAGATATGGTACATATATACAATGGAGTAGTATTCAGCCATAAAAAGAAAAGAAATCCTTCCATTTGCAACAACATGGATGGATCTAGAGGGTATTATGCTCGGTGAAATAAGTCAAGCAGAGAAAAACAAGTACCATATGATTTCACTTATTTGTGGAAAATAAAGCAAAGCAGAGCGAACAAAATAGCAGTAGACTCATAGACACTGAGAAGGGACTGGTGGTTATGGAGAAGGGGTGGGGGCGGTCCAGGGAATAAAGAGGCACAATAATTCACAATCACAGTATAAGTTGGTCACAGGGATGGTAGTACAGCATGGAGAATATAGTCAGTGATTCTGTAATATCTTTCTACGTTGATAGATAGTAACCACACTAGAGGGAAGGAGGATTTAATAACATGGGTAGCTGTTGAACCACTGTGTTGTTCATTTGAAATCAATATAAGAATTGTGTATCAATGATATACTTTAATAAAGTATATCTGGTCTATACTCAGAACCAGACCTGGGTTAGAATGCTGGCTTTCTTAAATACATAGGCAATTTCCTCATATATAAAATGGGCATAATAACTACTTACCTAGAACATAAGGCTGTAATGAGGATTCCATTAGAATGTGTAAAATGTCTAGCACAGTTGTGGTTATGTTATAGGAAGCACATAGTAACTGTTAACCAAAAAAAGAAACGGTGCTGCTTTTAGACAAAGTGCTTTTTTAGACAAATGGATACATGCTTTCCAGCTATTGCAAACACAGAAACATTCTTTTCTAAGCTAAAATAATATCTATTTTAACAGTCTGGACAGTGGATTCAAGGGGCAGCCCAAACTGGCAAAAATAGTAGCAATTATCTTAAAGAACAATTTAAACACTAGCTCTGCAAAAACCAAAACTACTGTTGTTCTTAACATATCCACAGACTAATTCATTATCAGGATGCATTCTGCTTCAAAACAAGGAACTACCCTCAAAACTGGGGGTTAATGTAGCCATAAGACTTACCAAGGTGCAAGTCACCTTTAGCTAGTGCTTTATCTTCAGAGATTCCAGGCAAAGGTCCTCTCTTCTGTGTTCCTTTACACCGAGCTGGGAAGCACCTCGTGCATGTTATTTCCGCATTTTAACATACTCAGTGACCTTCCAAGGAGATGACCTCTAAAAACTCTAATGTAAGTCAGGTCTTTTCAACTAAGCAAAGCTTTTTCTTTCAAACAGACCTCACTAGCCAACCCAATCTTTTATCTGTTGAGACCTTCTGTAGAAAGCTAAGCTGAATATACAGCATGTAAGAAAGATGATCAAATCTCATGACTCTCCGCAGTAAGCTAGAGCTCCTGAAAACTGTATACATCACCCCTATCCCATGCCAGCTTCCAAACCAGGCCATTTCTCCTACCCAACCTGTAACAGATGCTGCTGGTGCCCATGCAAAACCTCTTCACAAGGACTCATGGTGTCCCCAGCTGCTATAGTGACTACTCGTGGCTCACGCCTGCTTTCTCGACTGGCCAATTTGCCTCAACCAGACAGTTCTCCATCAAGCCAGGGAGCTACCCCTTCTCCCGGCCCCCAGTCAATGACTAACATGGAGGTTCAAAAAGCCATCCCCCTCACCTCAAGGTGGGACCAATTCAGTTGTGCGACCTAATTTTTACAAGCAGGCTATCCAAAATGGCAGCCGCCAGCCACCTGCAGCTACTGAGCACTCAAAATGTGCCCGTCCAAATTCCAATGTGCTCCAAGTGCAAGACACACACCAGATTTGCAGACTTGGTATCAAAAAGTAGAAAAGACCTCACTAACTTCTAACAATTACATGTTAAAATAATATTTTGAATATATTGGGTAAATAAAATACTTTAATATTAATTTCACCTTGTTTTACTTTTCAATGTGAGTACCAGAAATTTTAAATTACATTTGCAGCTCACATTCTATTTCTGTTGGACAGGGCTGATCTAGAGCAGTGCTTCCAGACTTTACCATGCATCCCCGTGACCCGGAGGGCTTGTTTGGACAGACTGCTGAGCTCCACTCCCCATTTCTAACTGACAGGTTTGGGGTACACTGGAAAACCTGCATTTCCAATAAGTTCCCAGGCGTGGCTGCCGCTGTGGGCTGCAGTCCCCACTTGGAGAACCACAGCTCCACAGTGGGACCAGACTGAAGCTCTTCAGCTTGTCCCCAGCTGGGACCCCTTCTATACTGCTTTCTTCACTCTTGACCACCACCTGCACAAAATCCCTTTTCAGGCTCTGCTTCCGGAAAACCTAAACACCCCACCTCCACAGAACTGTTTTTACACAACTATAACTTCCACAAGTGCCAGATTAATAGCAATAAATGAGATGGGAAATATCACTGTACTTTTTATATAAAACAAGCATCAAATAAATTACTTATTGGATGCTAGTTGCCTTTATATCATGTATTATATGCACTCAGCACTAGGCCAGGCTTGTTTTTCCTAATGAATGAATGGTCCTCACTCCACGACACGGACAGCTCTGTGGCCTTCTGCTTCCCTCGTTTCCATGACTGCTATGAGGCTCGGACTACTTTTTGTACCAAGACGTGTAAGTTTGCCCTTTCTCCTTTTCGCTAACGTTCATTAATATGGTATAAAGGCGCTGAGGTGAGACCTGAGCTTGAATCCTGAATGGCCCACTTAATCACTGTGTGACGTTGGGCAAATTACTTGACCTCAGCTGTATGAATGAGAAGCACATGAAGGCGGTCTGATGATGAGATGAGAACACAGCTTTCTTCCTCCTTCGCCATTTTCAGTAACCCCAGAATCATTTATCAACCTGAGAAGGTGGTTTCTGACTATTTCCCACACACATTACACGACCCACAAACAACAGATAAGATCAGCCACCCCTCTATGTTCTAAACTAAATCAAATTATTTTAACGTAATACTGCCTTGACCTTCCCTCCGAAGCTTCATATTTCCCTGTCACTAAGGCACTACTGCACCCACGGGCTTAGGTCAATGTAAGTCATTCCTTTTTTTAAATTGAGATATAATTCACATACTAAAAAATTCATTATTTTTAAAGTATATAAACTCAGCAGTTATTCATAGGATTGTGGAATCACCCCCACTATCTGATTCCAAAACACTTTTTCATCACCCCAAAAGGAAACCCCTTAGCTACCAGCAGTCTCTCTCACCCTCACACATGCCACCTCACCCTACCGCCCCAGATCCCCAGCCCGCGGCAACTGCCAATCTCCCTTCTGTCTCTATGGCTCTGCCTATTCCAAACATTTCCTATAAATGGAATCCTACAATGGGTGGTCTTTTCTGTCTTCCTTTCAAGGGTCCCTGATCTCTCTTTCCTTATATCTCCCATCTAATCCAAAAGCAAGGACTCCTGGCTCTAGCTCCAAAACACCTCCGAAGTCTTCCTGGTTCTCACCAACCCAGCACCACCACCCTAACATCATCTCTAGCCTGAACGTCTACAACAGCCCCCCTGGGGCACTCTCCACACAGGAGTCAGAGTGGGCATTGCAGGACGTGAACCTACCTGGCCTAGCCCTCCCAGGGACTCCGTTGTTAGGGTAGGTTCCAAATACAAGCCCCGACCTCTCTGTCCTGCCGCCCTTACTTCCTAGTCTTCCTCCCTCCCTCACTTCACTCCAACCACACTGGCAAGTCCATCCTGTGGTTACACCAAATTCCATCTCTCCTCAGAGCTTCTGCCTTTGGAATGCAAGCCCCCAGAGAGTCACATGGAGGGCAGTGTTAGTTTTCTGGTCAAACGCCACATGATCAGAAATGTCTCCCCTGTTTTCCTTAGGTAACACCCCCCACACACACACACAGGGCCAACACCACCACTCTTTATCCCACTCCTTTCAGAGCATTTAAACCATCTTGGAACTCACCAATTCATGTGAACACTGCCAGGCTCCTCGACTCAAATGTAACCACAATGAGGGCAGAAACATTCACTATTATATCCCCAGCACTGAACAGTGTCTGGCACATAGTAGGTGTAGTGGGTTGAACGGCACCCTCCAAAATGATGTGTCCATGTCCTGGAACTTGAGAATGTGGCTCTTGGAAGAAAGGTCTCTGCAGACATAGTTAGGTCAAGGATCTGGAGATGAGATCATCCTGGCTCCTGTCACGGTCTAAACGCAACAAGGGTCCTTGTAAAAGAAAGGAGAGCGAGGACGCATGAGGAGAAAGAAGAGAAGGCCACGTGAGGTCTCAGACAGAGATGGGAATGACACAGGCGCAGGCCAAGGCAGGCCTGGGTGAGGCGAGGGGTGATGCTTCACTGCGGCCTTCGGCGGCAGCGTGGACCCACCAACATCTTGATTTCTAGACTCCACAACTGTGAGAGAGTAAATCTGGGTTGCTTTAAGCCAGCAGGTACGTCCATGGATACTGTCTGAGTGTTCCTGACTGAAATTCTAAGTCTAAATCTTCCAACATTTTTTAAATTCACTTTTATTTTGATCTTATTATAGTTGACCCTTGATCAACACAAGGATTAGAGACACGGACCCCCTATGCAGTTGAAACCTGCACATAACTTCTTTGCTGTTCTTGTATGTATCTTTTGACTCCTCAGAAACTGAACCAATGGGCTACTGTTGGCCTTTCTAATAACAAGCAATTAACACAGATTTTGTGTTATGCATATTACACACTATATTCTTACAACAGAGCTAAAGAAAATGTTTTTCCAAATTACTTCAAATCTCCAAACTTTCAATACATTTACTGAAAATAATCCTTGTGTAAGTGACCTATGCCGTTGAAACACATGTGGTTCAAGGGTCAGCTGTATATTAATCCCATCCCAGTTTAATCCTTTTTTAATGAAAATGTTAATAGGAATTTAAAATAAATAAACTAGTTTTTTAAATCATGTAACACCTTCATTTTTCAAAAAAGTATACATTTGCTTCAACTAACAATTTACTGAAATTATTCTCATTAAAGACCAAAGAAAGACCTTATCAAATTCTTCAATCTTTATTTTCATTGCTTGACCTCCATACACCAGGGACACAGGGAACATGTAATTTCTTCTGATCCTCTCAGTGCATACCACAGTGCCAGGCACGTAGCAGATGCCCCACACTTGGTGAATGCGTAAATAATTACATCTCTAGAGGAACAAAAGAAAGAATGCAGTGGTGGCTCTTCTCAAACCATTCCTCTAAATCCTACTATCTCTTCTTCTTCCAAATCCTAGTTTAGGGTAATAAGACCAAGCATCTGTTCAATTAAATATTAACATACTATATCCTTCCAAGTTCACATACTCCAACTTTTACATCAGATCACCCAAAAAGCACTTTCTTCCCCGAAACTCAACATGACTCTTGGAGTCCAACTCCAGATACCTAAAAGGAAACACTGTTTTCACCACTTCCCCAAATTTTTTTTCCTTCCCAAATTTCCTTTTGTATCCCTGTTCTCCCATTTACCTACATTTTTTTTCAAAAACTGGCATCATTTAAACAACTCCTTTTCCTTCATTCTCTTAATCAAAAAGGTCACCATCTTTCCTCCTTACGTAGAAAAAAGGGTTCTACCAATCACTCCTCTGTTCTGAATCTCTTAAAACAGAATAAAATCCAAAAAGCAAATGTGAAAATGCACAAATGTCCATAAGCAATTTTTATACCAGAAACTGATTTCTATAGTAATCGTAGATTTGTTTTCCCAAATGATTGTCAGAAATCTATTAGCCTGTTAGAAAGATTTGCCTCCAGGCAATTCTAAAGCATTCAGATATCCTTGCACATCCTTTTCCTTGACTAGAAAAGAAAATAACGGATTTTAAGGAACATAAAGCGTCAGCATTCAAGATTCATGAATGCACTACATAATGAGACCATCATTCAAATGTGAGACAATTTGTAATTACAAAAAACAAGCCTTTGGCATCTTAACATCCAAGGTTCAAATTCTACCTCAGGCAACTGTGTCCTTAAGCAAGTTACTTAACTGCTCTGAGCTTTTTTTCCTCTTCTTTAAAATTGGAATTTTGCCCCTAGGTGTTACATGGATAAGAAGTAACACATGAAACCACATAAAGTATATAAAAGTTCAATGAACTGTAGCAATTATCATAAAACCAACATCTTGAAACCACTGAAAAATGTAGACAAAAGAAAAAAACTAGGTCAACAGAATGTTTAAAAGCTGATACACAAAACAAGACTAAAAGGTGAATGAACTCTCCATATACCCTAATAGCAAACCAATTCTGTTAACTGGCTAAAAGAATAGTTAGAATTCTCTAGACTAGAATCTAGAGTTAGCAATCTGCTTTCCAACAACCAAATAGTTTGCAGGGGTGGAGGGAGAAATGGGAGGAATAAGATCTCAAAAAGTTCTGCTTCAGACACAGACTTAGTGGAGCACATTTCAAGTTCACAGAAGAGATGAATGGAGAGAAGCTAGGCAGCAGCTCAGGTTCCTCTCAAATGACAGTGAACTTCAGAGTTTCTTCCCACCTCCAGGAGAAATTCTTTACTGACACAAATATAATTCTACTCCAGTCAGTCCTATCCCACATTCATGTTTTAAACACTGTGCTAAGAACACAGAAATAGACAAGACAGTCTTTGCCAACACATTAAAAGAAACCAGGGAAAAAAAGTCAAAGCTTACACATTAACACAGAAACCATATACAAGTGTAGAGCAGTAAGTGCCTGTGGATAAAAGGTTCTTATGGCCAGGGTTCTCACCTGGCCCCGGTCAGCAAGCGCACTTACACACGTGTGGGCAATACATTGTCACTTACTCTATATAAAGAGATCCACTCAGTGCTCTGGGTGGCATGGCTGCAGGAAAGCAGAGCAGAGGCCGGAGTGGTGGCAGTGCCAAGGACAGAGGATCAGAGGTCGGCTGTGCAGGCAGAGAGGCCCAGAGGCAGAGACTGGCTTGCTGCATGCAGACTCGCTCTGAGTGGACGGATTCTAGTGATTTACCTCCCACCGTGGGAATAAATTTGGGTATAACCCTTTCACCCCAAGAACACTCTACTGTCATTTCTTTGGTCACACTGAATCCGTAGTGAACTTGTCCGGGACTGAAACCCATTGGCAAGGCAATGCCCAAACAACTGCCTTTTCTGTTTGCCTCTCTAATCTAAAATATGGCAGTGTAATAGCACACAGAGAAAATAAAATAAAATGTCAGTGTAATCTCTCCCATGTCCAACATGAATGGCTTCCCATTGCTGTAAAATAAAGTCTGAAATTAATAGCATCAACTACAAGTCACGGCGTGAGCTGACTCACACCTACCTCCTTATCACCCAGCAGGCTCTAAGCCTAAGCAGAATTTTCTCTGTACTTACAGCTTGTCATTCCCTCTGACCACAGGACCTTTACAGCATGCCCTGTTCTCTCACATAACTACACTCACCTCTTCCCTCTGCCTAGAAAAAAGTCACTTTGTCCTTCAAAGGTTGTTTAAATTTTCACTTCCAAAGGAAAACACTCCCTTCCCTTAGGCAGTTATAGTATGATTAAGGGCACTGGTTCTGGGTTCTAGTTCTAAACCCCACCTCCACCTCTTACAAGTTCTGTAGTTTTAAGCAAATCACATAACACCTTGTGCCTCAATTTCTTCATCCGTAAATGGGGATTATACGACTGTTGCAAGGATCAAATAAATGAATTCAAATAAAGCATCAGAACGGTATCTAGGACATAAAGTTCAAAATCTTGACTTGGTCAAATCCCTCCACTTTATTTTCTTACAGCACCAGGACCTTTCCCCTAACAGCATTTCACATCCATTTGTCTCTCCCTGACAGACTAAAATTTCTACAAAGGTAGAAATATTCATCCACCTAGAGATGGAAGAGAGAAAATATTCAAAAAAAGGTTTGTTGAAGAAAAAGAAAAAACATAGCTGAAAGAACGAACCCAAGGCCCCATGCCGTGATTTGTCTAATACACAAAGCGTCTGTGTGATTCCAAAGCCCACAAGAGTAAAGGCCTCCTTTGTAAATGCCCAAGAGTCATGCAACCCCCATCAGTATAGCCAAAAAAGATTAGCAGATTAAAGAACAATAAAGATGAAAAACAAATTGTATAGCAACACAAAGAATGTTGTTCTTTTGAGAGTGGGCATTCTGAAGTTGGCCCTAAGGTAACACAGGTGCAGGCTTCCTTCCATTACCATGATCAGCTCCAGCTCTCAACGCTGCTCATCTAGGCCTCAGTTCCCTTCTCTTCAAAAGTTCGACGAGCCAGATAATCTTCAAAGTATCTTCCAGTTGTAAAGTTCAACAATAGTAAGTCAAGGTATGTGTCATTTAAGGAACTTGAACAAGCAGACGGAACCAGATGACAGGTGGTCTTCAGGGAGAAGGAATCATTCTAAAGAATTTTGTTCCAGCGATTTAATAAGCCCTATTCATAAAGTAAAGTAAGTAGTCTTTCCTCAGAAACTGAGGCTTCATGCTTTAGATAAAGTGTTAAGAGCCACACACAAACATTCCAAAACGTAAGTCCAGGCTACCACCATGAACCACTAGCACATAAAGAACAGTAGCAAAAGGTATTTAGAACAGTACAAAAATCAGGCAAACCACTACATAAAAAAGAAAAATAAATTCACAAGATGCATATACAGTATACTCTGATGTAATGCAATTAAAGTAGGCTTCGACTCAAAGGTAAAGGCAGTAGCAACCCTGGCATCGTGTGATACTTTAGAAGTTGACAACCCTAAGTCTACGTCAGCAGCAATTCACAGCGACCCTTCAAAGCAGGAAAGAGGCAAGAGAAAAAGGAAACTGTAAGGATCCTTAAAAACACACGGTGGAAAGCTCAAGAAGAAGCCAAGTAAGGCACAGGGACCGTGCACGGGAAAGGCGTGTAGATTACTGCCAGGAGGCTGTCAGCCGCTCTGGGAGAGAGAACAGAAAACACGCCTGCGGGCTCCGCTGGCGCCTGTGCCCTCCAGGATCCTCGGAGTAACAGCTGCAGCGAAGGCCGCCCGCTCTGCGCCGCCCCAGCGAGAAATCCCGGGGACAGGGAGCGAGCGGCGCCGACCACCGCGGAACCGGGGCCGCGGGCGTCACTCGGGCGCCGCGGGGCACCGCCAGAGCGTCCTCCGCGGCGCGGGCCACCGCCAGGCTGTTGGGCCCACGGAGCCCCGTCGCTCCTCACCTGCAGGGGCCACAGCGCCGCACTCAGCATCCGCGGCTGCGGCGACCGCCGCCCACGCCGTCCGGCAGAGACCAGCGCGGCTACCGCCACCCAGATGCCCGCCATTGTAACCCCGACCAACCGGCGCGCCGCTGACCTCTCACCCCAATAGGGGCGGAAAAGGGAGCTCCCGCACTTTGGCCAATCAGGAGCCGAAAACCCGAAGCCCCTCCCCCGCCCCGCAGGAGGGGCGGGAGCGGGACTCCCTGAACCTCACGAGCTGCGAGCGGGGCCGCTGAGCAGGCGCGCACCGAGACCCGGAGGGAGGCGGGCGGGCGGTGCGCCGGCCCGGAGTCCAGCGGGGGCTTGTCTGCCCCGGACCCCGGGAGCTAACGAGGCCGGGAAGACACGCGTGAGGTCCCGCGCCTGCTTGGGAAAAACCCCGTGCTGTACCAGCGTCCACTTAGCTACCGACGCACAGCCAGGCCATTTAATGTCAGCGAATGACCCCCGCCCCACGACCTCCCCGCTGTGTCCTAAATTCAGACACGTGCTCAAACTATACTCCTGCATGTTTGAAGGCGTAAACTGGCAAAGTACCAAAATAACGTAAAGCTTGGGACAACTGATAGCGTGGAAAACGCTCTAGATCTAGAAATCAGAGATTCGAGCTTAGTCCTATTTCTACCTCATATTACCCCCGTGTCAGGGGAATTAACCATAAACGGAGTCCATTTCTGTTACTTGCAAGTAGGCACCCTCATTATTAGTGAGTACAACTACTAAGGGCCAAACCTCATGCTAGATGTCTCAAATTGTCTCTCATTTATTTACTCCTTAAAAGAACTCTAGTGGCCCATACATTTATCCCATTTTGAGAAACTGAATTTACAGAGGCCAAGTTACTCAGCTAGTGAAGGGTTTCAACTCAGGTCTGGCTGTCTTCAGAGACTGGGCTTTTGTTTTGTTACATTATGGAAACATTTTAACATATCCAGAAGACAAAACAGTATTATAATCTCTCTGGCACCCTTCACACAGCTTCAACAAATCACCATTTTGTCGTCTTTTTTTCATCAATTCCCCTTTTTATTTCTTGCTGGAGTATTTTAAAGCAAATCTCAAACAACAGGTTATCTCATCTATAAATAGGCCAGTATCAGGGACTCTCTGCTCTTAACTCTTTTGCTACTCCTACAGAATCACCTTAAGAGCTACAATGCCAGGAATGATTCAGAGTATGTCACAGCATGGCAAATGCCAAAAGACATACAAACAAAATGCTTGGGGATACCAGAGGTGACATTTAATGCAATTAATTTTAAAGCCTAAGTAGGAACTTTCATGACTGCCAAAACAAGAAAGAGTATCAGCTTGACAGTTTTTCTCACTTATGTTATCTAAGGCTGGAATCATTTCCTACCCAGGAAACCTGCTTTTCTGTTGTTTCTCTTCCTCCATTTTTACCCTTTGGATTAGTACTCCTTAGCTTCCATCAGTTTTGTCTCACAGAAGTTCTTTTTGTGAAAGGCACTCGTGGCTTTAATGAAACTACTTGTTCCATACTATTTCTCCACTCATTCTTTCAGTAAGAGAGCTCCTGTGTTTTCACTGAGCACATGGCCACCCCGCTAAAGGATGCAGCCTCCCTTACAAGAGGCGTGGCCATGAGACTAAGGGCTGTTTATGGAATGTAAGGATTGTACCCCTAAGGAGTAGGGGCATGCCCTCCATTTCCTCTTCTCTGCTTCCTGAAAGAAGATTTGCTGGTGGGTGCTAGAACACCCATCTTAACTTACAAGGCAGGAGCCCTATGATGAAGATGGCAGAGCAATCAGAAAGGAGGAGCCCAGGTCCTGGGCCTTAGGCTTTCCACTGCTTAATGCACAGTGTGCTCTGTAACTTTTATCTTGTTTAAATCATTGTTACTTCTGCCTTTACTATAGTAGCCAAAACTGTATCCTGAGCAACTCTCAATTTAGTACCCAGAAGTGAGGTGCTGACATAATGAAACCTGAAGTATGTGATGATAATGTTGACAACCCCAAAATAGCAAATAAGAAGCAGGGAAAACTAATGATCCTTGTTATGCCAAGTGGTAAAATGGTCATTTTTAAATCTTGAGTAACACTGTTATTGCTCTCTCTGATACAATCCCTAATTCTGATACAATGTTTTCAAGGGCATATGATTGGCATTATGAGCTAGACAGCTCTACCTCCCCTATGATCTATCTGTATTACACTGTTGGTATTTTATCATCTCCAAAACCTGCTTCCTGTTAGCAATGTCTGAAACAGTTGTGTCATATATTTTGTCCAATCTCTTATTTATCCATAGTGGGAGGGAACCAGTTACTCCACACTGGCCAGGAGCATGAGCCCTCTCTCAGTATTTTGAAAACATTTTTACATTATCTTCTAGCTTCCCAAGCTGCTCCTGAGAAGTAAAATGCCAATCTTATTCTTCATTCACTGTACCCTATTACAGTCACCTGTCTGATATTGTGTAGTGGCTATGAAGCAGAGGAAGGTCAGGGTTTAAGGAAGAGAATCATGAGCAGTCACATGTATAACATAGTAAGACTGCACTCCACAAAGAGACCCTGACCTTTCAGCTTCGTACATTTGGCTGTCTTTGAGTGGGAGTATGTACAGACTAGGTACTGGATTGGAAACTATGTTTCCCCAAGTCCTCTTCCCTATATGGTTTCCAGGTAGGGTTAACCAAAAGAGGAGCTTGTACAATATTTAAAAGGCAGGTGTGAAGTGGTAGCCTCATACTTAAAAATTAAAATTCCTCTTGCAAGATTATTACCATAAGTAACATTTTCCTGGGAGTTCTCAGTTTGTCCTCAGTCACCTCTCTGCATCCACCCAACTGCTCTCCTTGCTGACCACCAGCGGCCCCAGACCATCACCAGGGGCTTAACTGCAGACCCAGTGGGGGGAGCTATCCAGAGGCAGCCGCCTCTCCTTCACCCCTCCATAAGATTCTTCCTCACATTCCCATTTGGTAGCTAGACATGCGTGGTGCCTCAGCTATCCCTCAAACTCTAACTTGTCCACCTAGGCCAGTGCATCAGGCAGATGATTTTAATCTTTCTTTGATCCTATTGTAGCTATTGACTAAGGTGAGTGTGCACTGGGGAGGGGGAAATAACCAGTTTTCAGGGATTACTGGACCCTGGTTCTGAACTGACACTAACTCTTAGGCCCCAAATGCTACTACTATGTTTCACCAGTGACAGTAGAGCCTGAGGGAGGTCAGGTGATTTGTAGAGTTTTGACTTGGGTCTGTGCAAAGTGATCCCAGTGCATTCCGGAGCCCACATTGTGATGATTCCTCCAGTTCTAGAATGCATAGTTGGAATAGACATGAATAGACATACTCATCAACTCTTTATAGCAGCTCCGCATCCTGACTGAATCCTGACCTGTACATGGGATGAGAAAGGGAGTTGTGCATAACTGTTAAAGTGATGAAGGGGTAGACTGTGGCAGAAACTCTTCTTGTCGTCTAATATCCATCTTCCTCTCATTACTTCAGTAAGAGAACTCTCACAATTTACACAGACTTCAGGTGAATACTACATTTCCCAACTTCCATCCCTGCAAGAGTGGTCAGGTTACTAAGTTTTGGCCAATGGCATGTAAGCAGACATGACAAGGGCAGCTTCTGAGTTGTGTCTTTAAAAGGAAGGGTCTCGCCTGCCACTTTTCCTTCTCTTCCCAGCTTGCCAGAATGTGGGCACAACGGTGAGGGCAAAGTTGTCAGTGGTAAGAAGACAGACAGGTGTTGCAGAAGGCAAAACAATACACAAAGAGCTTCTGAGTACTTGACACTGAAGCTGCCATGTCAGCCCTGGAATGTTTTGCTTAGATTTTTATGCAAAAGAGAAAAACACTGTATCTTGTTTAAGTTACTATGTTTTCTTTTGTCTTGTTTGCCTTTGTTACAGTAGCCAAACATGTATCCTAACTAATAGAGTACTACTATGTATCTGTGTCCTGGCCATTTAAAGTTAGAGATTCTAAGGAAAACCCCTAAGAAAGGTAAGAACATGGCAGGAACTGGCTAGCTCCTCTCCGAACATGCTCACTCTTCCTGAGCGAGGCAGCATTTTCTAACTCCCCTTACAGTTAGATATGGTAGTACACCTGAGGTGTAGCCCACAGAATGTGGATGGAAGTAAAATACCCAGTCTCCAGCTAGGGTATTTCACTCAGAAACCCTTCCATGTAATCCTTCACTCCCTTTCTTTATCTCTTCTAATTTTCTGAGATATCTGCAGGCAGAGACCGAAGGAGCACTAGTATCTCGCTGGCTAACTAGCCCCATCCTTCTTGCCCTCCCACACTGAACTGTCACATGAGCAAGAGGTAAACTTTTTATCTCCTTATGGCGTTGAGATTTGGAGATTTCTAGAACAGTTCATCTCCCCAGTCTAGTACAGCATGAGTAAAGGAAAATTAAATAGACTAAAAAGGACTTTTGTACATATCCAAAGGAAAAAGGTAATACTTAAGAGCAAAGTGGATTCTTTTTTCCTGAAACTTGAATGAAAAAATATTTAACACTAAGGTATATAATTCATAAATGCTGACAATGAAGAATTCTTCAAAATCAGAGCATTAAAAATATTTTCATTAGTACTATAAAAAAAGTGAGACCATTCCTTAAAAACTTTGTCAGAATAAAAATATGCATTAACAGTATCAAGAATAGGAAGTATTCATCTCGTGAATAACAACCAAGGCATCTAAAAATGTGGCAAGGATTTCTTCTCAAAGAATTCAGTATTGGCATATGCTCTAGAGAAGGGGTTGGCCAGCTTTCTCTGTATAAAAGACAGACAGTAAGTAGTTCAGGCTCTGATAGCCACATACATCTCTGTTGCATATTCTTTTGTTGGTTTATTTAACAAGGCTTTGAAAATGTAAAAAAAAAGTCTGAGCACGCAGTTTTTATAAAACCAAGCAGCAGACTGGATTGTGCCTGGGGCGAAATTTTTGAAACCTCTGCTCTGGTGCAGTTCGAAGTGCAGTTCAAGAACCAGTGCCAACTGGCCAAGTCTTTGTGATGGCTCTGTGATAAGATCAATGCCTGTCTTCTCACCATTCT